TTCACTGACAGACACAGCAACACATTCACATCCCATCAGACTCTAGAAGTGATGTGCGGTTCGCGAACGAATCGTTCGATTTAACCGGTTCTTCTGAGTGAATCGGTTGAACCAGTTCACCAAATCGGGCTGAATCGTTTGAAACGGTTCGCGACTCCAGTAAGCACTAATCCACAAATTACTTAAGTTATTCACTATTTTAACATGGCTGACACTCCCTCTGAGTCGAAATAAACCACTATCCCGGAGTAATTTATTAACTGAACTGCTGTGAGAGAGAACTGAAGATGAACACGAGCAGAGCAGCCGGATAACGAACACAAGCCCACTGCTGGAGCGGTTCTCCTTCTCGAGTCAAGAACCGGCTGCATCGGTTTTCGGGTTACCGGTACACTGAACCGAGAACCGTTTCTTTCGGACACGTCCGATTTGAGAACCGATGAGCTGATGCTACTGCGCATGCGCGATTCAGCGACAGCGCGTGTGATCTGAACTACCGAACCGAACCGTACCGCCCGCCACAGGTGTCTGAACTCTGAACCGAACCACTGATGCCACCGTGAGCGCGGGTGAAACGAGGATAATGGGCCGAACCGGCGAAACCTAAGTTTACTTAATAACAAATAAACCGTAATGATTACACACAGTAAGCGGAGCATAGTTTCTGCGCTGATGAAGACTCATTTATTGACGTCGTAACAGAACCGAGGTGAGTTCGTACGGCTTGAAGATCTCGGTGTAGATGTCGATGCTTTCGTCAAAGCGGTTCACGCGCTTCACCGTCACCTTCCTCCGGTTCTTCTCACACTGAACTGAAACAGAGACACATTCAGAAAGTCTCTATGATTTAACATTAACAAGCTATAATATACCGCACGTGTGAGGTGTCTAAATACAAACGAAACTTTCCAGAAACAAGGTGAATTAGAAATTAATTAATTCTAAAATGAATAACATTTTGCTTGTTACATATATCACACGAATCCTTCATGGAAAAGGCAATCCCATATTGCAATGCGATGAGTTCAGTGAAAATAATTAGGAAAAAGACAAAATTTTGAACCTAATATTTGTGTGTACAACGTATTTCTGTATTTTTGGCTAAATATTTAAATGTATATTTATATTTACTTAAATATTCATTCATTAATAAATAAACAAACAATTACTTAAATATACATTCACACAAATAAGTAAATAAATAGGTTGATAAATAAATTTAAAAATTAATTAAATAAACATAATTAATTCAATATTTACTTTAAAATAAATGTTTAAATTGTTCACTTAAATGTTTACTTAAATATTCATTCACAAATAAATAAATACACATTTACTTAAATACATATTTAAATATTTATTCATTTAAAGGGGTCATATGATGCGATTTCAATTGTTCTTTCTCTTTGGAGTGTTACAAGCTCTTGGTGCAAGTAGTAAAGCTATTGACTGTTCAAATGCGGAGTTTTGCGCATCGCAGAATAACGCGTCGTGTGTGTGTGTGTGTGAGTGTGTGTGTGTGTGTGTGTGTGTG